AGGGGACCAGGAATTAGAGAAAAAGTTAGATCAAGAATTAACCTAGAAGGTAACACACATGCATAGGAAATCAATGCGAGTCAACTCCCTGTATAGCTATCCTTATCTCAACCAGCAGAAACCCTTGTTCCTTCCTATTATTGCTTATACTCTCTCTTCAACAAAATTAGAGATAAGGGCAAAATAGTTTCTGCCGAGCGGTGGGGGGGGGGGGTAAGGGAGGGGGTGGGGGAAGGGGGGAGAAATGACCCAAACATTGTATGCACATATGAATAAAATAAAAATTTAAAAAATAAATAAAATAAAAATGCTTTTATTAGTATATGATAGTTATACAGGGGACTTTGTTGTGACATTTCCATGTACACATGTATTATACCCTGGTTTGGTTCATTCCCTCCAGTTTTCTCCCTCCTACTCCATTCTCCTTATTAAAATTACTTCACCAGGTTTCAATGTTCCACTCATCCCTGTATGAAAAGTACCTCAGCCCTCCTTTATCTTCTTCACTTACCCTCTCCCACAAATCAAGTCTTATATTCATTTCCTTTATGGATCATAATTTTTGTGTGAATTCTATTTCCCAACAGAATTTTTGTTTTTCACGTTCCCTCTCATATCCAGTAATGTGGGTTATTAATGGAAAGTAATGTTATAAAATTGCCTTTTTTGTTGTTGTTGGGTTTTTTTCAAGATAGGGTCTCTTGAACTATTTGCCTGGTCTGGTTACTGAGTAGCTAGGATTATAGGCGTGAGTCACCAGACCTGGGTTTTTTTTTTTTTTTTTTGGTAGCTTGGGACAGAGCTTGCTTAACGTAGCCAGCAGGCTGGCCTTAAACTGGCAATCTTCATGCCTTAACCTACCAAGTGCTGGGTTTTACAGAAATGCACCACCACACCCAGCTTAAAGTTTATTTTTGTGAGACAATTTACTAATTACTGCCCAGATTTGGTTCACTGTTCCCAACACGTTTTAGATTTCTTTATGAGTAAACTGGAAAAACAATGTCATTTTCTTTCTTCTTATTGGATTTTTTAAAGCATATAGACTAATAGAAAAATAGTCTAGAAAGAATGACTATAGAAAAATGCCAAGAGCATTTTATAACCTCACCAAAAGAAGGGACAGAACATATTTAAAGATATTATAGAGCTGGGCATTGGTGACTCACATCTGTAATCCCAGCTACTCAGGAGGCAGAGATAAGGAGGATGGCAGTTTGAAACCAGCCCGGGAAAATAGTTCAAGAGACTCTATCTCAAAAATACCTAACTCACACACAAAAAAAGGGCTGGTGGAGTGGCTCAAGATGTAGGCCCTGAATTCAAGCCCCCAAAAAAGTTAAAAAAAAAATTATGGTTCTCATTCTTTTATTATGTCTGTGGTAATGGGAAATAGTATACAAAAAACCCTAGATGTCAGAAATGCATTTTAAAAACAAAATTCTCCATGAATAATGTGGTAATATTGGAATTTTTACAATACAAAGAATTATTGAAATGTCACCTTCACCCAGCTCTCTCCCACTCCACATAGCTGACATTGCTGCTCTGCAGGGTGACGCTCATGCCACAGTGAGTTCTGGATTTCAGTCACAGGGCTAGTTCATGAGTCATAAGTGAGGATGAAGATTAAGACAGGTTGTGGATAAGACACAGGGTAAATTTCTCACGGGCTGGTAACAAGTTCCTTTGTTCCTTCTACATGCCTGTGCGCCTGTCCTGATCTGGGACTCTTGAAAATCACTGCAGTTCTGCTCACTGGATTGGTTCCGGTTCCTTTAGGTGAAACTTTTTTTTTTTTTTTTTTTGTGATACTGGGGCTTAAACTCAGGGCCTTCTCCTTCAGCCACACCACCAACCCTTTTTTTTTGTGTGAAGGGTTTTTCGATATAGGGTCTCATGAACTATTTGCCCTGGCTGGCTTCAAACCTCAATCCTCCTGATCTCTGCCCTCCTGAGTAGCTGGGATTGCAGGTGTGAGCCACCAGTGCCCGGAAGGTGGAGCTTTTATGACCAGTTGGAGTACCACTGAATCCCTGCTACATTAGAGTAGTTGAAACACGGTTTTATGACTTAAGAGAGTCAAAGATCAGGACAGGAACAGCAAGGTGTAAGAACCTGAACGTGATGACACATACCTGTAATCTCAGCAGTAGTTGTCTCAGGCAAGGGATCACGAGTTCAAGGCCAGCCTGGGATATAGACGTAAAACTTGTCTTAAAAATATCAAAACAATTGGGGCGCTGGTGGCTCACGAGTATAAGTCCAGCATTTGGAAAGCTGAGTCAGGAGGATTAATAATTTGAGACTAAACAAGGAAAATAGCTCCAGAGATCCCGTCTCCAAGAGTAACCAGAGCAAAAAAATTGGACTGGAGGTGTGCTAAACTGGCTAGAGTACCTGCTTTGCAAGTAAAAGGCCCTCAGTTGAACCCCAGTATCACCCCCCACAAAAAAATGTGCTGTCTATATCAATAATTGAAGGAAATGTTAACTTTCCCTGAGAGTCTATCCAAAACCCATGGACTCCCAGTTAACAACTTCACATTAGAGTCAGCCTGGTAGTACACACCTGTAACTCTCATGACTGGGGAGGCTGAGGCAGGAGACTTGAGTTTGAGGTCAGCCTAGGATAATAAGACCTGTCTAGAAAAAAATAAAAAAAAGAACCTCACATTAGACGCAAATGGAATAGAAATCTCTGTGTGTTCTATTTCCTCGCTTGGACCACTTTTCAACTGAAATCCATTGAGTGGGTGCTAGTGGCTTACAACTGTAATCCTAACTACTTGGAAAGCCAGAGATTAGAGAGGATCAAGTTCTAAGCCAACCAGAGAAAAATAGTTTGAGATCCCATCTCCAAAATATACCAGAACAAAATGTACCAGAGGCTGTGGCAAAAGTGTAGAGTGCCTGTTTTGCAATGAAAAGCCCTGAGTTCAAATCCCAGTCTTGCAAAAAAAAAAAAAATCCAATTGACTGAGTCCTTACCTTCTAGTCCTGTGCTTAAATCTCAATTTTGTAAGACTGGTGTGGTTCAGTAGGTTGAGTGTTTTCCTCACACACACTAGGCCCTGGATTCCATTCACAGTGCCTTAAAGGAACAGGAAAAAACTTCACCTCATAGTAATATGTTGATTTCTTCTTTTGTTTACCATCACTGCATCTTATCATAAGAATCTTATATAAAATCCACAAGAACGATTTTTTTTGTTCCCTAAAACATAGAACAGCACGGGCATAGTACTAATATTTATAAAAGTTTTGATTGTAAGTGACTGACTCATTTGAAGGCTTAAACATCCCACTGGGTTATGACCTTGGTTATTAACATCCTTGGTGTGGAGAGTATGCACAAAGTAAAAAGTTTTAAACCCTGTGATCTCTAGAGTGCTTCCAACTTTTAAGGTTTTTTTTTAAATGTACTGAGCTTTGAACTCAGTGCCTCCACATCTAGGCTAGCGGCTCTACTACTTGAGCCACTCTGCCAACCCTGAACTGTTATTTTAAAAGACTTTTCTTGCTCTTTAACTTTTTAAGTTACTGAAGTAACTAATATTGTCATTAAACTCAAAGGGAAAGAGATTTATTTCCTTAATGTACATAGTAATTTTTACTAAATTCATATACATATTATCTGATTTTACCCCAACAGCTGCTTTCTACATTTTACTTCTAACCCACCTTTTGTTGATATGTGTAATTAAACTTGGTACTGTGTTTGATGAGTGTAACCAAATGCTTAAAATTTAAAAACTGTGAGTCCCCAGGGCAATAGTATTGGATGCTGTGGACCTTTAAGAGATTGGGGCCAGCTGGTGCTGGTGCTCATGCCTATAATCCTTGCTACTCAGGAGGCAGAATCAGGGATTGAGGTTCGAAGCCAGCCCCAGGCAAATAGTTTCTGGAGACCCTACTTCAAAAACACCCAACACATTATACAAAAAAGAAACAGAGCTGGTGAGTGGGC